AGCAAGAGGGAATTCTGCACCAGATAACCTTTGGGCTTGAACTGCATCAGGTTTCTGGAGAACACTGACTAATACAATATGTATATATATTTTTCTTTTTGTCTTTTTGAATACTTGATGGACTCTTTCAATACGATCAGTCTCTTTCATCAATTCTGGGGAATATATTTCTATGTTTTTCTATGATTGTCCCTCCCCTCCATTCTCTGTTCTTGTCTCCTGGAAATCCAGTCACACAGACGGAAACCGACCTAGATGTCTTCAGCTCTTTTTGTTTTTCTTCTTTCTTTCTGTCTTAGATTGGGCTAACTGGAAACAGACTCTGAGGAGGGGAGCTGCATACCGGAAGTTTACTGCCAAAATTCTCTAGGAGATAATACCCGTGAGAGAGAGAGAATCAGGGTAGGGCAGAGGGAGAAGCTGCACTTTGATACACTTGCAACTAAGTCCTCAGCTGACCTTACAGGGAGTTCTGGAGCTGGGACGACCCTTCAGATAGTCCTGAATCCAAGCGAGCGACTTGATGTGCCTTTGGGGGGAGGACATAACCTTGGGCAGGGAGTTCTGTCTGAGGGCAATTCCTGGAAAGTTGGCTGTGAGCTGTCAACCGCCAACAAGTGGTGGAGTGACTGCCTCAGTCCCTAAACGGGGATCTGGATGGCACATCCAAAGCACCCACTACACCATCTCTTTGTCATTTTGAAGGAAGTTTAGGCTTCCGGCTAGCATACCCTCTCTTCGGTTGAATATATTCTTTTTGGCTTATCTATTGAGATTTTATTTGGTAAGCATTTTTTTCCCTAGTACAGGGTTTTTAAAAATAATAATCTTTTGTTTCATGGATGCATTATCCATTCTCATCCCTTTGAGGTTTTCAATTATACTATTTTCAAAGTTTCCATTTGTTTGCTGTGTAAATTCTAATTTGTTTGGTGAAGTTTCTTTTGTTCGTTAAGTTGTGTGTTACTCTTTCATGGTGTTTGTTTAGTTCGGATGTTTAATTTCTGGTTGCAAGCCCATCTGTGTAGTTGAGGTTCTGTTAGCCTGTCTATGAAGGCAGTATGCACACCAGTCAGCCTCCAGGGGTTTTGGAAGAGTGGGTTTTGTACCACCAGGCAGGACATACCAGTAGCTTCTCTTAGGGAAGTGGAGCTCCCTACTCATCCTGAGCATGGCCTCTGGCCCAACACTGACTCCCAATGCTCCAGTCTGTCTCTGTTCTCTACTCAAGGTGAGGCATTTGGGGCAGCCCACCTACTGCTCTGCTGTTGATGGAGTCAGCCATCCTGGTGGTTGCTCCAGGACTCCCTCCAACTCCTTGTGTCCACAGCCTCTACATCTGGAGTTCTCCTAGAATCACTTCCAGTTTTCCTTTGACAATCCCATCCTTTCTGCTCTCTTTTCAGGATGGGTGGGACACTGTGTCACCTCACTCAGTATCCTTTCCGTCTTCCTTCTAGTATGCCTTCCTGAATTACTGAGGCTGGAACCCTCAAAACTACATTTTTTAGATTCCCTTGAAGCTCCAGTTTTAGATGTGATTTAATCCTACCAATCATTTGCAAGACGTGAGTTTTAGAAGGCAGAAGTGGAACATTCTGAGGTAGAGGCTGATTTCTGTTGCCTCTGTTATTTCTGATGGCAGGCTGCATAGTAAAGGAATTTGATTTTTCTGCAACAACTGCGGCAGGATGCTCAGTGTTGGGACTTGATGGATGTTGACAGGCAGGGCACAGCACCTTCATTTTACTGCTGCGGGTGGTGGCAGAGGGGCTGGAGCCAGCAGCTGCAGCAGCTGATTCTTGATCCCATGGTTTCCTGACTGTGGCAGGGCCAGAAGCTCAGTTCTGTAATGTGGCTTTAGGAGCTTTTCATGGAAGTTCAGCCCAGAGCTGATCTTCAGGTCTACAATAATTACGATACCCATTGGATATCCTGTAATAAATTCCTTTTAGCTTAAACAAACTAGAGTGGATTTTGTTGGATGCAGTGGAGTCCTCATGGATACTGGGGGATTCCTGGCATTTTCTGGTCTGTTGCAGTAATGCCTTCTTATTTCAGAGATGTTTTAGATTTGTTTTTTAAAGGGTATTTGGTTCCATCATTGCTAGTGGTTTTTGGTGGTATGGTAGTAGGACCAAATATGTAATCAGGCATTGTGATTTCATCTTCTTAGTGAGAATTCATTTTTCTCAGAGGCAACAGAGTCTAATAGCATACTGTAATGAGGGATATGTCTACTTTTAAAAAGGCTTGAGTCCAAGCCTCTTGCAGCATGAGATAATATCTCTGTCTTTTTCTGGCAAGAGATATGTAGCAGGTTCTTGCCCCACCTAAGCCTGTCTTGCATTTTAATAGAAACCACAAATTGCAGCTGGCTGTCTTCATGACACCCAAGAGTGGCAAGAATCTTGACTAGATTCCCAAGTCTCCTCTTGATATAAGGGGATTCGGTAGGGGATTTCAGTTAATTCCACCATAGTTTAGTAGTTAGTGAAATAATGCATGAACCTAAGATAGATTATTTTCAGTGCATCTTGAGAAATGGTTCTAAACCTTTACAACCAAAGAATTCTTTCCCAATGCTTTTTGTTTCCATAAAGCATCAGTGCTTCAAGGTTGATCATTATACTTAAAACACTAAGACATAGACTGGGGGAAAATATTTGCAAAAGACACATCTGATAAAGGACTGTTATTCAAAATATATGAAGAACTCTTAAAACTCAACATAAGAAAAAAAACAACCTGATTAAAAAATGGGCAAAAGATCTGAACAGACCTCACCAAAGAAGATGTACAGATGCAAGTAAGCATATGAAAGGATGTTGCCGTTATATGTCATTAGGAAATCTCAAATTGAAACAATGAGATACAACTACGCACCTATTAGAATGTCCCAAATCCAAAACACTGCCACCACCAAATGCTGGTGAGGATGTGGAGCAATAGGAACTCTCATCCATTGCTGGTGGGAATCTAAAATGGTACAGCCAGTTTGGAAGATAGTTTGGTAGTTTCTTACAAGACTAAACATACTCTTACCCTAAGATCCAGTAATTATGCTCCTTGGTATTTACCCAAATGAGCTGAAAACTTCTGTCCACACAAAAGCCTGCACATGGATGTTTATAGCAGTTTTATTCATAATTGCCGAAACCTGGAAGCAACCAAGATTTCCTTTAGTAGGCGAAGGATAAATAAACTGTGATACATTCAGACAATAGAATATTATTCAGCTCTAAAAGGAAATGAACTATGAAGCCATGAAAAGATATGGAGGAAACTCACATGCATATTACTAAGTGAAAGAAGCCAATCTGAAAAGGCTATATATAGTACGATTCCAACTATACGACATTCTGGAAAAGGCAAAACTATAGAGACAGTAAAAAGATCAGTAGTTGCC